TTTAGGTTTTATGTTTTAGATTCTCATTCAGATTTGATGCTTAGTTTAGAAATATATCTTGATTGTTAATGGATTCTTTTAGATTTAGGTTCTACTTCTGTTATGAATTTCCGTTTCAAAGATTTTCTTTCCTTATTCATTTTAGCATTTGAGTTCTATTTAGATTGTAGGAAGTTGTAGTAAATAGATTTTGTTGTTGTTTTGATACTGTTATTTTCTTCTATTTCATTACATTTCAAATTCTTTATTTTTTTTAAACAGATGTTAGTTTAGACTAGTTTCAATTCTTTTATTTTAGTTTCATTCCTTTTAAATGTTCCCACCTGTTTAGTAGTTAGTAAGTAAATAGTGAGTAAATAACTACAAGACCTTAACCATACACTTTAATCTTAATTAGCTGAGTCCCAGGATTGAAATTCTTGTTGCCCTATGCTACATTAGTGGGGACCAGACTTTGTTCTGCCTTAAGCGACTAAAAGGCAGTTTAACAGGCCCTCAGCACCAAAGTACACTATCTCACGCTTGGCTACCCTTTTCTGGAGCCATTAGCGCAGGATGCTCCTAGCTCGCGCTTGGGCACCCTTTTGAGGGGCGCTGAGCGCAACTTCGTCGAGTCGCACCATGCTTGCTTGCCCTCTGAGCTGACCCTGAGCGTCAATTCTGACCCGCACACCGCTGGGCGCCCTAAGTGGGGCGTTGAGCGCCAGTCTCATGGGCTTGGACCCGTTTTCTGTTATTTTTATGTTCTATTTAAGGACTTGGACGTCCTAGGGTTCACATATTTGGACGAAATAGGCACAGAAACACACTTTTTGATCCCTCGGAGGCGGATTTGGATGCAGAAGCTCCTATCTTCAATTTCTAGGGTTTTATATTTCATTCTTTTTCCATTGTTCATCTAGTTTCACCATGTCAATGGTGAACTAAACTCTATTTTTTGTTGAGGATGATGTAACCTTTGTAACTCTCATGTATTGAATTGATTTTTGATTATATACGCTTCTTTCATTAATTGTTTGGGTAATTCTTCTTTGCGTAATGCTTGCTTCGTTTAACTCATTCTTTAGCATGATGTATGATTTGCATGAGTACCGGAAGGTATCTTACAATTCATGATCCGGAGAATATTCCTAGAGGCAGTATTGCTCAGGAATGGGGGTATGAGTTTGGTTGTCTTAAGCTTCTGTTCTTCAGAATTAATTATTATGAATGTTAGGAATCGTATGAACTAATAATTAAGGATAGGCTTTCTTCGCCGAGGAATCGGGTTTTAAGTATTTTAGATAGTGGCATTAACATTGATGAAGAAGTAGAATTCATATATACATGAGAGTAAACTAGGTGAAATCTAACCCCCAACAACATATTCATTCTATAATATCAAACTCGTTCATCTTTGCACTTTTGTCCAATTGATCAAATTGCATGCATATTTACTTTTCAGTATTTTCATTCTAAACCTAAAAGAGTTTGTTTTCAAGTCCTATTTAATCAAGAAATCACATAATAGTTTAGGCCGTGAGCCTTTAGGGAAACGATACTTGGTCTTACCATATTTATTACTTAATACGATTTGATACACTTGTCGGAGTCTTAATAGTTATCTAAGTGGTTTCAAACAATAAATCAGCAGAGTTCATCATGTATGTAGGGATAATCGATTGTCATCCCAGATAATTGATTATTCCCGCGAATAATCACGTTCCTAGACCATCCTTTGATTCATCCAATCCCATCGCTACACATATTATATCTCCAACAGAACCTAAAAACAATGCACATGTTTATCATGCTATCTTTACATCATGGGTTTGCATGGTAAAACCCAAATATCATAACTTTGTTCCCTCTTAGCATTAACCCTATTATGGGATAACCCAACAAAACGATATATACATTCATAGGAAAAATCCATCACAATGACATAAACCCATCCCTATGCATACACAAATCGTTTCTCAACAACATATATAGATAATCATATCCATAATTATGCACACATGCAACAAAACTAGAATGTACCAATCAAGATAATCAAAATTACATGACATACAACAAACAAACATAGGTAAGCTTCCACATACCTTGGGCAATCCTAAGACTTTCTCTATGCACAAAGATCTTCTTTAATGTAGTTTCACTCTCCCATTCACTCTCTCTCTTTTCCTCTCACTTTCAAAGTTTGTCTTATTTTCCTAATGGTCAAAGTTTAGGATACTCTATTTATAATAAAAGCCCATAAAGAGTAATAACAACAAACTAAAATAAAATATATAAATAAGATAAAATGAATTTATCTTTAACTTAATCAACACTGATAAGTCCTTAGATAATATATTTTATCTTAATATATTTATTCGAATTGATGATGATAAGTCCTTAAATAATGCATTATACTTTATTATTTTTATCTAACAATAGTATCTAATAATATCTCAAGATATATTTTAGTTAACAATATCTCAAGATATCTTTTAAAATATCTAATAATGATTTTTCCTTTCTACACTCCCCTATCTTGATTTATGCAGCTAATTAATAGAAGGTAAAAGACTTGTTTTGCCCCTAAGCCAAAATATAAATAACATAACAATTATGTTCTAACAAAAGTGTACTCTCAATAACACTAATTTCCAAACAAAAACACCAAAGTCACAAGACTACCTTATTTCTAAGACCCTTATTTTTCTCGGATCTTATAGTCGGCATACCTTGTTCGCGTAAATCCAATCTTAAACTAGTTTTAAGTTTGAAGGGATATCGGACTCGGGCTTCTCAAATGAAAGAGTGGCAGCTACTCCATAAATGTCTAAAAAGATGGACACGCATTCTTGCTAGCGTAAGAAGTTTTGTCTAAAGAAGAGCTCAATTGTTGACACGTCCCAAAGTTGTTTTGCATATACCGTCTAAGTTCTAGAAATAAGTTTTTGACTTTCCGGAATCTAGTTGTTGATGTCAGTCATAAGTTCTTAAGATTGTAGTAGAAAATGTTGATTAAATCACGAACAATATTTCATGAGGCATGTAAATTCACTGTCCTTAAGTACTTATATGCGGTGTGTTACACACACAACAAGAAAAATCGTTGTTACCTAAAGCCAAAATCCATATGTAACCTCAAAAATTGTACGTAAAGCAGTGTTACATACGAATAAAAATTCGTGTATAAAATGGTCGTAAGTAATGTTACATACAGATTTTTCCATATGTAATTACATACAGACCGTTTGTAATTACATACAAGTATATAATTAAATATGAAAAAAATATTAATGTAATTACTTACGGATTCTATATGTAATTACGTACGAAAAAATTCGTAAGTAATTACATACAGAAAAATCCATATGTAAATTACATACGGAAAAATCCGTATGTAACTTGATGGCTTTATAAAAAGAAAATAAATGATCTCACATTTGCATCTAATAACTAGAAGTTTTATATAGCTGATAAGAGTCAAACACAACTGCCAAATTTTCAAAAAACAGTATCAAATTGTCAAATAATAAGAACGACTTATCTTTTACAGTTAATGCATTACATGAATCAATCATAAAATACTTAAAAAATGCAAAAGAATAAACATCAGCAGTGTTTGGCTTTCATTTTATTGTAGCACTGGAATCAATTGTTTCTTTTACAATTTGTGTTTATAAAAACATGACAATGACGTCCATCATGTAAACTTTAATTAAAATTGAGCTTGAATGAATATTTAGGTAATTCAGGATATTGAATGTGCAAAACATATATTAGAGCATCTTCTACCTGCAACAATAAATAAAGATTAGCATGAAACAAGATTATATAACCCAAGATACAAGATACAATACGAACTTCCTAGAAATTTCTGAAGATCTCAGAACTAGCAAGGAACTCTAAAGAGAGTACAAGAATTAACCCAAGATAAAAGGAGGATAAGAAGATAAAAGGAAGGAAAACTAAGAAGATAACTTGTGGAACAAATTTTTCCTTTTGAGAAGGGAAGATAAAGCTTTTTTTTGTTTTGTTTAGAAATGCAGGAAAAACTCTATTTATAGAGCATGAGGCAGTCTCCCTTGGTGAGAAACTTGGTCAAAGATCGTTGCCAACAATAATGAATAATAAATAAATAAATAATTGAACGTTTGCACTTTTGGACGTTGCTCACGTTCAAATCTAATGTTTCTTTTGTAATAAATTATTAGTTTACAACATCACATCCCCATGATTTATGGCTAACGGTTACAATCGTTCTGACGATCTGTCACAGGATACCACCGAGCATGTTCAACACAATTTTGACAGCAAACCCCTTTTCCTATCATAATACGCTCGAGCTTGGGGTTTTGTGTACTGTATGACCATCCGGTCAGCATAGGATCGGACGGTCCAAACGGTCAACCAACTACGAAAATAACCATAGCGACTATCATGAGACTGGACGGTTGCAATTTGTAGGATGAACAATCACCCTTCAAGATGATTGTACCTAATTCTAATTAATTACGACAAAACACGATTAGTATTCTGAAGTCCATTTCAATATCTATAAATACAAGTTTGAGATAAAGTGGTAGGTAATGATATTTAATAAGTATTAATTACTACAACTGCTAGATCTTTCTTGACTTTGACCGTGTACCTTCTGCAAATAACCTCCTGGCTTCACTGAATGGGATTCTGAGACAAACGGCGATGAAGACGAACACTCGAACATTTAGGAGTTAATGAACAAATAATCTCGTCTCGACAACCAAAACAGTGACTATTAAAATACAAATAAATACCTTATATATATATATATATATATATATATATATATATATATATATATATCAATTACAATTTAGTCTATATATTTAAACCCAAAATTATATTTTAATGATAATTTGCAAAATAAATTGTTCTATAACTAGTTTCATTCGTTTTACTTACTACAGATGGTCTCATTATTTACGCGTACATGAAGTATAATTAAGGAATAAAGTATATTATATCATTAAACAGTCAACAAATGCAGTAAATTCAAGGTATGAAAGTATGAAAACAAACAAGGCATTGGTATATTATTAGTTCACTCATCTTTGACTTCATTAATACTAATCAATTTTTCCATGCCTTAATTCATAGTTAAATTTTTCACCAAGCTTTGACCATTCATCTCTGATATTTGACTGAATTTTCTTGGCCAATTCCTGTTCATCTCTCAAGTGTGGCACTTGTTCCCTCAACTCATCTCTTTGAGCTTTCAAAATCTTAGCTTCCCCAAAGATTTTTCTTTTTATTTGAGTAGCCATGTTCTTAGCTGCTTCTGAAGCAGAGATGTTAGCTTTAACAGCCTTTATCTGCTCTTCTAGCTCTCTCTTTCTTTGTTCCAAATAGGCCAAATCATTGCACAACTCATTTTCCATGCACATCACTTGCTTGAAGTTAGTCTTATTAGCTTCAAGACACTTTTCTAGTTCATCAGCTTTCAACAATTTGGCTGTGGTAGACTCTACTTTCTTGTTCTCAGATGTGTAATCCCTACTCCAACGAGTGAACTGTCTTGAAACTTGTATTATCAGAGATCTTATTTCCACTGATATTCCATCTTCTGCTGGCAAATTTGTGAGGTACTCTAAGGTATCATTCATTGTACTGTATTCATTAGGGCCCAGCAGAGCAGAAAATTCTTTAGTGACATGGGCTTGAAGTGCCTTCAATGCTTTCTTTGTCTCTTCACTTGGCCTTTGGTTGGTCAATTTAGAAACCACTGTTGAATCATTGTTAAGTGACACCACAGAGATCTCATCATCCAGAACAGCATAAAATGCTTCCATGTCTGCATCATTCACAGTCAAGCTGGTTTGAACTGTTGTTGGCAGCACAATTGTGGAGCTGTTATTATTTTGAGGTGTCTGTAGTATGAAGCTTGTGACTTGGGATTGTAGTTGAGCTTTCACTGGATGATCAAAAACTAGTGTGTTTGATCCAGAAGCTATAACTGAATCTAAATCTGGATCAGGATCTGTAAGTAGTATATCCTTCATGTTAGCTTCTTGCTTAACCACATGAACTCCACACCAACTCACAGTTACATTTGATGCTCCACTTATCTTCTCGCATGAAATCTCAACCTGATTCCAGTCATCCATCAGATACAAATCAAGACTGCGCCAGTTGATGGATGAATGAGTTCTCAAGTCATAGAGCCACACATGATCTGTCACCATATCTGAAAAGCCTCTTGGAATTTCCAATTCATAAACTTCTTCCCCATTTATATAAAAGCGGATTTCACAATTGAAAATTTTCTTCATTTCACTTTCAACCTCAAGAACAAAGCATATGATAATAGCTGGAAACTTTTCACGTACCCAAAATGTCATGTATTCTCCTTTGGTGATGTGGTCAAACCATTCTGGAACCACTGTCCCAGGCACCATAGCCTGTAATTCCCATCCCTCAAAAGTTTCCTGCACAAGAAAGTTCAAGTGAAAATGGGTGGTGACTAAAGACAAAGTAGGAAGATTTAAGAAAAAAGATGAAAACCTTGTTCAATAATAAATTGGAAGATTCTACTGACAATGATGTACAATTTTGTGCATTAATGTACTGCATGTTAGGAGGAAATGCTGGAATTTCTTGGAGTTTTTTACAGTTGTCCAAGTGAAGTAGTTCCAAGCAAGGACATTGTTGTATGCAGCTTGGAAGAGCTTCAAAATTATTTCTTGAGAGTACTGCTGATGCTAAATTTGGGAAACTATTGAAAATTATGGGAAGGTCTTCATCTATAAGGCCACAGTTTTCTAGATTCAGTGACAAAATGTTGCCAAAGGTATGTGTAGATTCTCCCATGTTTGCCAACTTTGTCAGAAAGTTTCGGAGTTGTGGACAGCCATCCATATCAAGGTTTGTAAGACTTTGAAGCATATCAAAGTTGTGAGGCAGTTCCTTGAGGCTTAAGCAAGATGTCATGCTTAATTCTTGAAGACCAACAAGGTTTCCAATGGAAGGAGGCAATTCTTTTATACCAGTGCCTTCTATAGAAATGGTAATGAGGTTATCCATTTTCCCCAAAATAGCTGGAAAATTTTGAAGGCTTGAACACCAATTAAGGATAAGACTTCTCAATGATGTCAACCTGATGGCATTTGGAAAAACCTTAAGCTTGGTGCATCCATAAGCCCTAAACTCAACAAGTTTCTCAAGGAATCCAACAGATTCATGAACTTCTTCTAAATTTGTACAATAGTCAAGAGTTAGCTGTGTTAGATTAGGGACTCCTGCAATTTCAGGTAGTTTTGTCAACAATTCGCAGGAACTCAAGTCCATAGATGTCAAGGAATCCAAATACTGCAAAGAAAAAAAAAATAGTTTAGCAAAATTGCTGGTTATGTGAAGAAAGAAAGAAAGAAATACTACCATGACAGAATGAAACCTGACCATGAATGGCTCTTGCATTGTGAAACGACTGCCTGACAGGTTGAGTACAACAAGTTTCTTTGGTTGAAAACTAGATGGCAAAGAGGAAGGATATTTCATCCAATCAAGCAACCTTAAGTTGTTTGGAAGATGTTGGGGGCTTCCAAAAAAGTTTCCATTTCTAACTATGAGAATTTTGAGATTTTTCATCTTCTTGAAGGAATCATCTTTCAAGTGTACCATGTAGCCATCAGGGAGGTCCACCATCATGCCCTGAATTCTATAAGTTCCCTTTTAATCAAAACATCCATAAAACTACATTAAGCTAGAGATTTTGACTCAAGCATGTCACATTACGTTGTAAAGTTTAACCAATCACGTATCAAACAAACTAACAAGAATTTAAAGTTTTACCTTATTTTCGGTCAGTACTTCTAAAACATCTTCATGATACCACAATCTACTCCTTTTTCCAGGTTCTAAAGGTGAAACTTCTCTAACTATTTCCCTACCCATGTCTTGAATTAGATCATGCATTCTCAACCTGTTATATTCATCAACACTAACAAGAGATCTATCAATAAGTACACTGATACCAATTGTTGGATAAAAACCACAGGCTTGCAGTGTTTTTTCTACATATTCCACTGTCTCTCCCTTGAAGAAGCATGCCACATCAAGGAAAATTTCCTTCTCATTCTCTTCTAGATTATCATAGGTTACTCTTAGCACATTCTGAACCTCTTTGTTAGGAATCTTCTCATATTTTCCCAACGCAGATTTCCACTCTTCCACTGTTTTTCCAAACAAATTAGATCCCATTATTTTCAAAGCCAATGGAAGACCCTCAGCATAGAGAACCACATGGTTAGAAACCTCCAAATAGCCTGCATCAGGTGTCTTCCTTTTGAAAGCACTCCAAGTGAACAGCTCAAAAGCTTCACCATAGTTTAATTTCTTTACCTCATAGGTTTTGTCAACCTGATGAGCACTCAGCAAGTGCTTATCTCTTGTTGTTATGATGATCACACTTCCAAAACCAAACCAATCGCGTCCTCCTGCCAGTGCTTGAAGCTGCTCCAACCTGTCAACATCATCAATGATCAAAAGTACTTTTTTGCAACAAAGCCTTTTCTTGATAATAGGGATTCCTTTGTAAATGCTTCCCAGCTTGATGTTCTTGTCCCCAACAGTATCAAAAAGAAGTGATTCTTGAAGCTGCACTAGCCCTTGTCTTTGACTTGAACTTTCTCTTATGTCAGCAAGGAAACTTGTAGCTTCAAACTGGCCTGCAATCATGTTGTACAATGCCCTTGCAATTGTTGTCTTACCTATGCCTCCAAGTCCATAGATCCCAATGACACGAATATCTTCACCCGGTTCAATCTGCAAAAGAGGCATCACTTCTGATATACGAGTCTCTATTCCAACTGGGTATTCAGCAATGTGCAAAATGGTGTGGCTTAACTTTCTAGAGGCCTCCTCAACGATATCTTGGATTATCTGAAATTCATACCTGACAAGTAACAAGTTCAAAGAGTGAGAGAATTGAAAGCTTTGAATGTAAAAAATGAAAGTTAGTGAGTACTCTTGCTTATTACACAGTTTAAAGAAACAAAGGCAGAAGATGCTTAGTACTACTTGTTACATACCCGTTTTCTAAGGTCCAACCTGAGAAATTGGATGCTTCAAACAAGGCTTTCTTCCACTTCTGCAGCTTTTGGACATTACCCATGAATCTGACTTCATGTTGGGCCATTGCTGTTTGAAAAGTTCCTCTCTGATGGCGCACCACAGAAGGGTCGACATGGAAGAAAACTGGCCACACAAGTTGCCCTCTGGTTTTGTAACAGTCAATGATCTTTGCAAGTTCATCAAGACACCATGTGGAGAATGCATAGTTTTGAGAGAAGACAATGATGGCAATTCTAGACTCTTGAATGGCTCCAAGAAGAGCAGGGGATAAGTCTTCCCCTCTCCTGAGCTTCTCATCATCAATGAAAACATTGATACCCCTTTGGCACAAACCATGATACAGAAATCCTGTAAAGCTTCTCCTTGTATCTTCACCTCTGAAACTCAAGAACACATCATAAGTCCATCCACGGTCAAAACCAGAAGATGAAGAAGCTCCTTCACCCAACGTAATTGCCATTAGAAGCAGAGTTTCTGGTCAAAGCAAACATGCACCTGACCACTTATTCTTATGCTTAAGTTAAGGAGGAGGCTACAAATTAAAACTAGTTCAATAAAAGTTGAAAAAAGGATTTGACAGTGATAATAAAAATACTATTGCTTTTAAGAATTAGCGTATAGAAAACGCAAGCATGTTTAAGAAATTATTTCAAGGTTCTAAACTGATTTGGGATCTCAATTGGTGGAAGTCAAAGTCAAATTTATAATTCTTAGTTTGAAACTGAAGCATTTGGGTAGAATGAGTTGACTAAGATCCTTCAATGTCTCTACCAAACAATCACATTTTGTTCTTCAGCCACTTGAGATGATGGTGATTATTGTTCTTACCAGAAGGTAAATTTTCCTTACACCACCATTCAAAGGAGTAAATTTTCCTTATACAACTGCTGGACTATGAGAATGGCGTCTTTTTCAAACACCCTACACAAAACTTTGGATGATTAATTAAGTCTTAAAGATCCCAAATCTAGAATTAGATAAGATAAATTTATAGTATAAATAAAGATAATTTTTTTTAAATGATAATAAAATCATTAAAAACTAATTTTAATAAAATTTATTATTTATTAAATTTATCATATCATTATAAGATTATTATTGGCTATCTATTAATATAAATAAATATACATTTTATTTTATAATAATAAATGGTATTGAAAATTCATTTTTTAGTAGTAACAATTGTGAATATTATTCAGAAAAAATAATATCATATAAACTAATATTATCTTAAAGATAAGGTGAAAGTAGTTTATAACTCATCGGTAGTATTACTTTTGGGTTGTTATTCTCTTATACACTTCATTTAGTGTTGCGCTTAATACTGAATAGGAAGAGTTCAAAAATATTAACTTCACAGAGTTTCAAATAAGGTTATTTTAAGGATTATTATAAACTTGGATATTTCAAACACCTAAAAGTTTATCAATTATTTTTTATCATATAAAAATCTATTAGAAAAAATAGAAATAAAAGAGTTCAACCTGAACACATTTCATTTTGGAGAAGAAAACATCTGTTTCAAAGTACGATTTTGGTATATTGAGAAAACATATTTGTTTCATTTAATATTGAGAAATTGACAATAACTTAGTATATCAATTTTTATCTATTTTGTCTCTTAAGTGTTTGGAAAACTTTTAAAAAACATATTTAATTTTCTCACTGTGTTAATTTCTTAAGCGTTGAGAGACCTTGAAAAATATACTTTTTATGTAGTTATTAATTGTAATTATTGTCATATATAAATGATTTGAAAGAAGATAATTAGTTATTGATACATTGATCATTAAATGAATGGTAATTACTATGAATTATACATCAAATTCAATAACTTGGATTTGTACATTGAGACATTCTCCCATATATTATAGTTATAGGTAGATCAAATCTTTGATGAGTGCATGAATTTGAGATTTGAATCTTGTAAACTATATTTTATCCATATTATTATATAAGCTCAACCATTTCAGAAATCAACTCTTGACAGTGACATATCTCTCCTATTTCTCATATTTCATGTCCCTTCTCAACATTTTATGGAAGAATCAATAACAAATTTATTTTGCTTTCTTATTTTCTAAAACTTGAACATCATTTGATCAATAAAAGATAAAAATTCCAAAGGAGAAATCTTTTTACAGACGAATAGTCAGATTCTTTGATAAAAAAACAAAATATCATCGACCAAAATCAATTAATATTATGTACCATAACATGATTGAAATAGATAATTAATATAAAAATGAAAAAAAAAAGTTTACTTTTTTGCTTTTAAATTTTGTCAAACCTTGAATTTGATGCTATTATTTCAATTTCATAAATTAGTAATTTTATTTTAAAAGATAAATGAATTGAATCGATTTATCGTCATTTTAAATTAATACTTAGTAATTCTGGCAAAGTTGGAAAAAAAAATTCTCATATTTTTATACTTTAATGAATAACCCACCAATATGCAGTATAAAAAATTAAAAACATATTTATTTAATTTTGAAGGATTTAAGAGGACAAAATTAAAACATCATTAAACAAAAATATTGTTTTCTCTTATTAAAACAGAGAAGGATATTTTGGATGTTTCTTTTTTAAAATTATATAGTAATATTTTTAGTTAGATACTATAGATTCAAATAATAAAATATTTTATTTTAGTGATCAATAAAATTCCTTTTTCTTCACAATAAATAGTAAGACATGTTTCTAAAAAATATTATTATTATTATTATTATTATATTATTATTATTATTATTAAATGAATAAATTTCAATTTTATCATATTTTCTTAGGGATACGTGAAACTGGTGACAAACATTTTAATTTTAAGTGTTTAAAAAATATATTTAATATTATTTCAATTTAAATATGTTTTCTATCAACATCTTAAAAAATTAATAATATAACATGCATTTAAAAATAGTTTATAATTTTTTTATATATGTGTTTGTTACATAAAAGTGGCCCCTAACAAAGATTCTGTCCCTATGTAGGAACTATCATACTAATAACAAAATAAAATAGAGTTATTAGGAATATATAAATACTTTCAAAACGTATAGTTGTGAAGAAAATGTTAACATGTTGATGTGGAAAAAATATATATATTAATCATATATTGACAATAAAAGTTATAGTGGTATCTAATAACGTAACTCCTCTAAAAAATATTATATANTATTTTGAGGTGTCTGTAGTATGAAGCTTGTGACTTGGGATTGTAGTTGAGCTTTCACTGGATGATCAAAAACTAGTGTGTTTGATCCAGAAGCTATAACTGAATCTAAATCTGGATCAGGATCTGTAAGTAGTATATCCTTCATGTTAGCTTCTTGCTTAACCACATGAACTCCACACCAACTCACAGTTACATTTGATGCTCCACTTATCTTCTCGCATGAAATCTCAACCTGATTCCAGTCATCCATCAGATACAAATCAAGACTGCGCCAGTTGATGGATGAATGAGTTCTCAAGTCATAGAGCCACACATGATCTGTCACCATATCTGAAAAGCCTCTTGGAATTTCCAATTCATAAACTTCTTCCCCATTTATATAAAAGCGGATTTCACAATTGAAAATTTTCTTCATTTCACTTTCAACCTCAAGAACAAAGCATATGATAATAGCTGGAAACTTTTCACGTACCCAAAATGTCATGTATTCTCCTTTGGTGATGTGGTCAAACCATTCTGGAACCACTGTACCAGGCACCATAGCCTGTAATTCCCATCCCTCAAAAGTTTCCTGCACAAGAAAGTTAAAGTGAAAATGGGTGGTGACTAAAGACAAAGTAGGAAGATTTAAGAAAAAAGATGAAAACCTTGTTCAATAATAAATTGGAAGAATCTACTGACAATGATGTACAATTTTGTGCATTAATGTACTGCATGTTAGGAGGAAATGCTGGAATTTCTTGGAGATTTTTACAGTTGTCCAAGTGAAGTAGTTCCAAGCAAGGACATTGTTGTATACAGCTTGGAAGAGCTTCAAAAATATTTCTTGAGAGTACTGCTGATGCTAAATTTGGGAAACTATTGAAAATTATGGGAAGATCTTCATCTATAAGGCCACAGTTTTCTAGATTCAGTGACAAAATGTTGCCAAAGGTATGTGTAGATTCTCCCATGTTTGCCAACTTTGTCAGAAAGTTTCGGAGTTGTGGACAGCCATCCATATCAAGGTTTGTAAGACTTTGAAGCATATCAAAGTTGTGAGGCAGTTCCTTGAGGCTTAAGCAAGATGTCATGCTTAATTCTTGAAGACCAACAAGGTTTCCAATGGAAGGAGGCAATTCTTTTATACCAGTGCCTTCTATAGAAATGGTAATGAGGTTATCCATTTTCCCCAAAATAGCTGGAAAATTTTGAAGGCTTGAACACCAATTAAGGATAAGACTTCTCAATGATGTCAACCTGATGGCATTTGGAAAAACCTTAAGCTTGGTGCATCCATAAGCCCTAAACTCAACAAGTTTCTCAAGGAATCCAACAGATTCATGAACTTCTTCTAAATTTGTACAATAGTCAAGAGTTAGCTGTGTTAGATTAGGGACTCCTGCAATTTCAGGTAGTTTTGTCAACAATTCGCAGGAACTCAAGTCCATAGATGTCAAGGAATCCAAATACTGCAAAGAAAAAAAAAATAGTTTAGCAAAATTGCTGGTTATGTGAAGAAAGAAAGAAAGAAATACTACCATGACAGAATGAAACCTGACCATGAATGGCTCTTGCATTGTGAAACGACTGCCTGACAGGTTGAGTACAACAAGTTTCTTTGGTTGAAAACTAGATGGCAAAGAGGAAGGATATTTCATCCAATCAAGCAACCTTAAGTTGTTTGGAAGATGTTGGGGGCTTCCAAAAAAGTTTCCATTTCTAACTATGAGAATTTTGAGATTTTTCATCTTCTTGAAGGAATCATCTTTCAAGTGTACCATGTAGCCATCAGGGAGGTCCACCATCATGCCCTGAATTCTATAAGTTCCCTTTTAATCAAAACATCCATAAAACTACATTAAGCTAGAGATTTTGACTCAAGCATGTCACATTACGTTGTAAAGTTTAACCAATCACGTATCAAACAAACTAACAAGAATTTAAAGTTTTACCTTATTTTCGGTCAGTACTTCTAAAACATCTTCATGATACCACAATCTACTCCTTTTTCCAGGTTCTAAAGGTGAAACTTCTCTAACTATTTCCCTACCCATGTCTTGAATTAGATCATGCATTCTCAACCTGTTATATTCATCAACACTAACAAGAGATCTATCAATAAGTACACTGATACCAATTGTTGGATAAAAACCACAGGCTTGCAGTGTTTTTTCTACATATTCCACTGTCTCTCCCTTGAAGAAGCATGCCACATCAAGGAAAATTTCCTTCTCATTCTCTTCTAGATTATCATAGGTTACTCTTAGCACATTCTGAACCTCTTTGTTAGGAATCTTCTCATATTTTCCCAACGCAGATTTCCACTCTTCCACTGTTTTTCCAAACAAATTAGATCCCATTATTTTCAAAGCCAATGGAAGACCCTCAGCATAGAGAACCACATGGTTAGAAACCTCCAAATAGCCTGCATCAGGTGTCTTCCTTTTGAAAGCACTCCAAGTGAACAGCTCAAAAGCTTCACCATAGTTTAATTTCTTTACCTCATAGGTTTTGTCAACCTGATGAGCACTCAGCAAGTGCTTATCTCTTGTTGTTATGATGATCACACTTCCAAAACCAAACCAATCGCGTCCTCCTGCCAGTGCTTGAAGCTGCTCCAACCTGTCAACATCATCAATGATCAAAAGTACTTTTTTGCAACAAAGCCTTTTCTTGATAATAGGGATTCCTTTGTAAATGCTTCCCAGCTTGATGTTCTTGTCCCCAACAGTATCAAAAAGAAGTGATTCTTGAAGCTGCACTAGCCCTTGTCTTTGACTTGAACTTTCTCTTATGTCAGCAAGGAAACTTGTAGCTTCAAACTGGCCTGCAATCATGTTGTACAATGCCCTTGCAATTGTTGTCTTACCTATGCCTCCAAGTCCATAGATCCCAATGACACGAATATCTTCACCCGGTTCAATCTGCAAAAGAGGCATCACTTCTGATATACGAGTCTCTATTCCAACTGGGTATTCAGCAATGTGCAAAATGGTGTGGCTTAACTTTCTAGAGGCCTCCTCAACGATATCTTGGATTATCTGAAATTCATACCTGACAAGTAACAAGTTCAAAGAGTGAGAGAATTGAAAGCTTTGAATGTAAAAAATGAAAGTTAGTGAGTACTCTTGCTTATTACACAGTTTAAAGAAACAAAGGCAGAAGATGCTTAGTACTACTTGTTACATACCCGTTTTCTAAGGTCCAACCTGAGAAATTGGATGCTTCAAACAAGGCTTTCTTCCACTTCTGCAGCTTTTGGACATTACCCATGAATCTGACTTCATGTTGGGCCATTGCTGTTTGAAAAGTTCCTCTCTGATGGCGCACCACAGAAGGGTCGACATGGAAGAAAACTGGCCACACAAGTTGCCCTCTGGTTTTGTAACAGTCAATGATCTTTGCAAGTTCATCAAGACACCATGTGGAGAATGCATAGTTTTGAGAGAAGACAATGATGGCAATTCTAGACTCTTGAATGGCTCCAAGAAGAGCAGGGGATAAGTCTTCCCCTCTCCTGAGCTTCTCATCATCAATGAAAACATTGATACCCCTTTGGCACAAACCATGATACAGAAATCCTGTAAAGCTTCTCCTTGTATCTTCACCTCTGAAACTCAAGAACACATCATAAGTCCATCCACGGTCAAAACCAGAAGATGAAGAAGCTCCTTCACCCAACGTAATTGCCATTAGAAGCAGAGTTTCTGGTCAAAGCAAACATGCACCTGACCACTTATTCTTATGCTTAAGTTAAGGAGGAGGCTACAAATTAAAACTAGTTCAATAAAAGTTGAAAAAAGGATTTGACAGTGATAATAAAAATACTATTGCTTTTAAGAATTAGCGTATAGAAAACGCAAGCATGTTTAAGAAATTATTTCAAGGTTCTAAACTGATTTGGGATCTCAATTGGTGGAAGTCAAAGTCAAATTTATAATTCTTAGTTTGAAACTGAAGCATTTGGGTAGAATGAGTTGACTAAGATCCTTCAATGTCTCTACCAAACAATCACATTTTGTTCTTCAGCCACTTGAGATGATGGTGATTATTGTTCTTACCAGAAGGTAAATTTTCCTTACACCACCATTCAAAGGAGTAAATTTTCCTTATACAACTGCTGGACTATGAGAATGGCGTCTTTTTCAAACACCCTACACAAAACTTTGGATGATTAATTAAGTCTTAAAGATCCCAAATCTAGAATTAGATAAGATAAATTTATAGTATAAATAAAGATAATTTTTTTTAAATGATAATAAAATCATTAAAAACTAATTTTAATAAAATTTATTATTTATTAAATTTATCATATCATTATAAGATTATTATTGGCTATCTATTAATATAAATAAATATACATTTTATTTTATAATAATAAATGGTATTGAAAATTCATTTTTTAGTAGTAACAATTGTGAATATTATTCAGAAAAAATAATATCATATAAACTAATATTATCTTAAAGATAAGGTGAAAGTAGTTTATAACTCATCGGTAGTATTACTTTTGGGTTGTTATTCTCTTATACACTTCATTTAGTGTTGCGCTTAATACTGAATAGGAAGAGTTCAAAAATATTAACTTCACAGAGTTTCAAATAAGGTTATTTTAAGGATTATTATAAACTTGGATATTTCAAACACCTAAAAGTTTATCAATTATTTTTTATCATATAAAAATCTATTAGAAAAAATAGAAATAAAAGAGTTCAACCTGAACACATTTCATTTTGGAGAAGAAAACATCTGTTTCAAAGTACGATTTTGGTATATTGAGAAAACATATTTGTTTCATTTAATATTGAGAAATTGACAATAACTTAGTATATCAATTTTTATCTATTTTGTCTCTTAAGTGTTTGGAAAACTTTTAAAAAACATATTTAATTTTCTCACTGTGTTAATTTCTTAAGCGTTGAGAGACCTTGAAAAATATACTTTTTATGTAGTTATTAATTGTAATTATTGTCATATATAAATGATTTGAAAGAAGATAATTAGTTATTGATACATTGATCATTAAATGAATGGTAATTACTATGAATTATACATCAAATTCAATAACTTGGATTTGTACATTGAGACATTCTCCCATATATTATAGTTATAGGTAGATCAAATCTTTGATGAGTGCATGAATTTGAGATTTGAATCTTGTAAACTATATTTTATCCATATTATTATATAAGCTCAACCATTTCAGAAATCAACTCTTGACAGTGACATATCTCTCCTATTTCTCATATTTCATGTCCCTTCTCAACATTTTATGGAAGAATCAATAACAAATTTATTTTGCTTTCTTATTTTCTAAAACTTGAACATCATTTGATCAATAAAAGATAAAAATTCCAAAGGAGAAATCTTTTTACAGACGAATAGTCAGATTCTTTGATAAAAAAACAAAATATCATCGACCAAAATCAATTAATATTATGTACCATAACATGATTGAAATAGATAATTAATATAAAAATGAAAAAAAAAAGTTTACTTTTTTGCTTTTAAATTTTGTCAAACCTTGAATTTGATGCTATTATTTCAATTTCATAAATTAGTAATTTTATTTTAAAAGATAAATGAATTGAATCGATTTATCGTCATTTTAAATTAATACTTAGTAATTCTGGCAAAGTTGGAAAAAAAAATTCTCATATTTTTATACTTTAATGAATAACCCACCAATATGCAGTATAAAAAATTAAAAACATATTTATTTAATTTTGAAGGATTTAAGAGGACAAAATTAAAACATCATTAAACAAAAATATTGTTTTCTCTTATTAAAACAGAGAAGGATATTTTGGATGTTTCTTTTTTAAAATTATATAGTAATATTTTTAGTTAGATACTATAGATTCAAATAATAAAATATTTTATTTTAGTGATCAATAAAATTCCTTTTTCTTCACAATAAATAGTAAGACATGTTTCTAAAAAATATTATTATTATTATTATTATTATATTATTATTATTATTATTAAATGAATAAATTTCAATTTTATCATATTTTCTTAGGGATACGTGAAACTGGTGACAAACATTTTAATTTTAAGTGTTTAAAAAATATATTTAATATTATTTCAATTTAAATATGTTTTCTATCAACATCTTAAAAAATTAATAATATAACATGCATTTAAAAATAGTTTATAATTTTTTTATATATGTGTTTGTTACATAAAAGTGGCCCCTAACAAAGATTCTGTCCCTATGTAGGAACTATCATACTAATAACAAAATAAAATAGAGTTATTAGGAATATATAAATACTTTCAAAACGTATAGTTGTGAAGAAAATGTTAACATGTTGATGTGGAAAAAATATATATATTAATCATATATTGACAATAAAAGTTATAGTGGTATCTAATAACGTAACTCCTCTAAAAAATATTATATAATTCATTTTCAAATCATAAATAAATTTGGACATTTTTATAATTAAGTTTTTATTAAAAAATTATTTTATAAAATATTAAAAATTCTATATTTCTTAATTAAATTTCTAATGTTTAATATTTAATCTATAAGAAACTGTAAGACCCTAGAAAAATTAACTCTGCAAAACCTCTGTCAAATCAAATTAATGCATTAAAAACCCCTCTGCAGTGCATTAAAAACGCACCCAAACACTCTGATCACGTCTGCCAGGTGTCGAGAATGGAATGTTCTGAAATCAGTAGTGGAAGACAAGTGTCAACAAGAGAACGGACGTTGGTTTTTAAACAAAACTGACTTTCTGAAAACAGCGTCACTCTCTGCATGCACTCATCTTCTCCAAAAATCTGATCTTTCGAATTCTCCACCTTCTCTCTAGAAAACCTCCACCTTCTCTCTACTGTAACTCACCACCCTCTTCTCCGATCACGTTTCAGAAACCATAGGAGCACTCCCTGAGTTGTGAGCTTCAGTCTGAACCGAATAGATCCAGGTTCTGAAACCGGTAAGTCTCTCAACTCTAGACGTTCGTTTCTGAGTTACATGCGAACCCAGATTCAGCTGCATGCAAGGGTATAAACTAAGTTCTGTGCGTTTTCTTTTGGTTAGTTTTAGTTGGAGAACTTAAGAAGAACGTTGAGGGTAGAAAACCATAGTTGGACGAGTCAAAATCACACTCTAGGGACGTTCACTACTGATCCAGGTAAGGGAAGCTTATTGATTTAATTCGTNCAATCTGCAAAAGAGGCATCACTTCTGATATACGAGTCTCTATTCCAACTGGGTATTCAGCAATGTGCAAAATGGTGTGGCTTAACTTTCTAGAGGCCTCCTCAACGATATCTTGGATTATCTGAAATTCATACCTGACAAGTAACAAGTTCAAAGAGTGAGAGAATTGAAAGCTTTGAATGTAAAAAATGAAAGTTAGTGAGTACTCTTGCTTATTACACAGTTTAAAGAAACAAAGGCAGAAGATGCTTAGTACTACTTGTTACATACCCGTTTTCTAAGGTCCAACCTGAGAAATTGGATGCTTCAAACAAGGATTTCTTCCACTTCTGCAGCTTTTGGACATTACCCATGAATCTGACTTCATGTTGGGCCATTGCTGTTTGAAAAGTTCCTCTCTGATGGCGCACCACAGAAGGGTCGACATGGAAGAAAACTGGCCACACAAGTTGCCCTCTGGTTTTGTAACAGTCAATGATCTTTGCAAGTTCATCAAGACACCATGTGGAGAATGCATAGTTTTGAGAGAAGACAATGATGGCAATTCTAGACTCTTGAATGACTCCAAGAAGAGCAGGGGATAAGTCTTCCCCTCTCCTGAGCTTCTCATCATCAATGAAAACATTGATACCCCTTTGGCACAAACCATGATACAGAAATCCTGTAAAGCTTCTCCTTGTATCTTCACCTCTGAAACTCAAGAACACATCATAAGTCCATCCACGGTCAAAACCAGAAGATGAAGAAGCTCCTTCACCCAACGTAATTGCCATTAGAAGCAGAGTTTCTGGTCAAAGCAAACATGCACCTGACCACTTATTCTTATGCTTAAGTTAAGGAGGAGGCTACAAATTAAAACTAGTTCAATAAAAGTTGAAAAAAGGATTTGACAGTGATAATAAAAATACTATTGCTTTTAAGAATTAGCGTATAGAAAACGCAAGCATGTTTAAGAAATTATTTCAAGGTTCTAAACTGATTTGGGATCTCAATTGGTGGAAGTCAAAGTCAAATTTATAATTCTTAGTTTGAAACTGAAGCATTTGGGTAGAATGAGTTGACTAAGATCCTTCAATGTCTCTACCAAACAATCACATTTTGTTCTTCAGCCACTTGAGATGATGGTGATTATTGTTCTTACCAGAAGGTAAATTTTCCTTACACCACCATTCAAAGGAGTAAATTTTCCTTATACAACTGCTGGACTATGAGAATGGCGTCTTTTTCAAACACCCTACACAAAACTTTGGATGATTAATTAAGTCTTAAAGATCCCAAATCTAGAATTAGATAAGATAAATTTATAGTATAAATAAAGATAATTTTTTTTAAATGATAATAAAATCATTAAAAACTAATTTTAATAAAATTTATTATTTATTAAATTTATCATATCATTATAAGATTATTATTGGCTATCTATTAATATAAATAAATATACATTTTATTTTATAATAATAAATGGTATTGAAAATTCATTTTTTAGTAGTAACAATTGTGAATATTATTCAGAAAAAATAATATCATATAAACTAATATTATCTTAAAGATAAGGTGAAAGTAGTTTATAACTCATCGGTAGTATTACTTTTGGGTTGTTATTCTCTTATACACTTCATTTAGTGTTGCGCTTAATACTGAATAGGAAGAGTTCAAAAATATTAACTTCACAGAGTTTCAAATAAGGTTATTTTAAGGATTATTATAAACTTGGATATTTCAAACACCTAAAAGTTTATCAATTATTTTTTATCATATAAAAATCTATTAGAAAAAATAGAAATAAAAGAGTTCAACCTGAACACATTTCATTTTGGAGAAGAAAACATCTGTTTCAAAGTACGATTTTGGTATATTGAGAAAACATATTTGTTTCATTTAATATTGAGAAATTGACAATAACTTAGTATATCAATTTTTATCTATTTTGTCTCTTAAGTGTTTGGAAAACTTTTAAAAAACATATTTAATTTTCTCACTGTGTTAATTTCTTAAGCGTTGAGAGACCTTGAAAAATATACTTTTTATGTAGTTATTAATTGTAATTATTGTCATATATAAATGATTTGAAAGAAGATAATTAGTTATTGATACATTGATCATTAAATGAATGGTAATTACTATGAATTATACATCAAATTCAATAACTTGGATTTGTACATTGAGACATTCTCCCATATATTATAGTTATAGGTAGATCAAATCTTTGATGAGTGCATGAATTTGAGATTTGAATCTTGTAAACTATATTTTATCCATATTATTATATAAGCTCAACCATTTCAGAAATCAACTCTTGACAGTGACATATCTCTCCTATTTCTCATATTTCATGTCCCTTCTCAACATTTTATGGAAGAATCAATAACAAATTTATTTTGCTTTCTTATTTTCTAAAACTTGAACATCATTTGATCAATAAAAGATAAAAATTCCAAAGGAGAAATCTTATTACAGACGAATAGTCAGATTCTTTGATAAAAAAACAAAATATCATCGACCAAAATCAATTAATATTATGTACCATAACATGATTGAAATAGATAATTAATATAAAAATGAAAAAAAAAAGTTTACTTTTTTGCTTTTAAATTTTGTCAAACCTTGAATTTGATGCTATTATTTCAATTTCATAAATTAGTAATTTTATTTTAAAAGATAAATGAATTGAATCGATTTATCGTCATTTTAAATTAATACTTAGTAATTCTGGCAAAGTTGGAAAAAAAAATTCTCATATTTTTATACTTTAATGAATAACCCACCAATATGCAGTATAAAAAATTAAAAACATATTTATTTAATTTTGAAGGATTTAAGAGGACAAAATTAAAACATCATTAAACAAAAATATTGTTTTCTCTTATTAAAACAGAGAAGGATATTTTGGATGTTTCTTTTTTAAAATTATATAGTAATATTTTTAGTTAGATACTATAGATTCAAATAATAAAATATTTTATTTTAGTGATCAATAAAATTCCTTTTTCTTCACAATAAATAGTAAGACATGTTTCTAAAAAATATTATTATTATTATTATTATTATATTATTATTATTATTATTAAATGAATAAATTTCAATTTTATCATATTTTCTTAGGGATACGTGAAACTGGTGACAAACATTTTAATTTTAAGTGTTTAAAAAATATATTTAATATTATTTCAATTTAAATATGTTTTCTATCAACATCTTAAAAAATTAATAATATAACATGCATTTAAAAATAGTTTATAATTTTTTTATATATGTGTTTGTTACATAAAAGTGGCCCCTAACAAAGATTCTGTCCCTATGTAGGAACTATCATACTAATAACAAAATAAAATAGAGTTATTAGGAATATATAAATACTTTCAAAACGTATAGTTGTGAAGAAAATGTTAACATGTTGATGTGGAAAAAATATATATATTAATCATATATTGACAATAAAAGTTATAGTGGTATCTAATAACGTAACTCCTCTAAAAAATATTATATAATTCATTTTCAAATCATAAATAAATTTGGACATTTTTATAATTAAGTTTTTATTAAAAAATTATTTTATAAAATATTAAAAATTCTATATTTCTTAATTAAATTTCTAATGTTTAATATTTAATCTATAAGAAACTGTAAGACCCTAGAAAAATTAACTCTGCAAAACCTCTGTCAAATCAAATTAATGCATTAAAAACCCCTCTGCAGTGCATTAAAAACGCACCCAAACACTCTGATCACGTCTGCCATGTGTCGAGAATGGAATGTTCTGAAATCAGTAGTGGAAGACAAGTGTCAACAAGAGAACGGACGTTGGTTTTTAAACAAAACTGACTTTCTGAAAACAGCGTCACTCTCTGCATGCACTCATCTTCTCCAAAAATCTGATCTTTCGAATTCTCCACCTTCTCTCTAGAAAACCTCCACCTTCTCTCTACTGTAACTCACCACCCTCTTCTCCGATCACGTTTCAGAAACCATAGGAGCACTCCCTGAGTTGTGAGCTTCAATCTGAACCGAATAGATCCAGGTTCTGAAACCGGTAAGTCTCTCAACTCTAGACGTTCGTTTCTGAGTTACATGCGAACCCAGATTCAGCTGCATGCAAGGGTATAAACTAAGTTCTGTGCGTTTTCTTTTGGTTAGTTTTAGTTGGAGAACTTAAGAAGAACGTTGAGGGTAGAAAACCATAGTTGGACGAGTCAAAATCACACTCTAGGGACGTTCACTACTGATCCAGGTAAGGGAAGCTTATTGATTTAATTCGTAGGGTGTTGTATGTTTGCTGAAAATGATTGCATGTTGAGTAAATGTATGTATCCAGTATGAGTATAAATGCATGATGGATGATGGTTGCAATGTATGAATGTGAACCTGAATAATTATGGTGTATGTTGATTAATCTGTATGATGATGATGGATATTTATCAATGAGAATATGAATTATTAACGTAAATGTTATAAAGTTTGTAAATTTGTATTTTGAGGTGAAGTATAAAGTATGCACTGGTATGTTGGAACTTAAGTTTAAAATTTGAAATATGAAATCCTGAATATGATAAAATACGTTCGTCATCGTACGGTCTTATACCGTTCGGTTTTCTAGTAAAATGTTTAAAAAGGAATTCTTTCATTTGGAAAGAGTNATAGAGTTATTAGGAATATATAAATACTTTCAAAACGTATAGTTGTGAAGAAAATGTTAACATGTTGATGTGGAAAAAATATATATATTAATCATATATTGACAATAAAAGTTATAGTGGTATCTAATAACGTAACTCCTCTAAAAAATATTATATAATTCATTTTCAAATCATAAATAAATTTGGACATTTTTATAATTAAGTTTTTATTAAAAAATTATTTTATAAAATATTAAAAATTCTATATTTCTTAATTAAATTTCTAATGTTTAATATTTAATCTATAAGAAACTGTAAGACCCTAGAAAAATTAACTCTGCAAAACCTCTGTCAAATCAAATTAATGCATTAAAAACCCCTCTGCAGTGCATTAAAAACGCACCCAAACACTCTGATCACGTCTGCCAGGTGTCGAGAATGGAATGTTCTGAAATCAGTAGTGGAAGACAAGTGTCAACAAGAGAACGGACGTTGGTTTTTAAACAAAACTGACTTTCTGAAAACAGCGTCACTCTCTGCATGCACTCATCTTCTCCAAAAATCTGATCTTTCGAATTCTCCACCTTCTCTCTAGAAAACCTCCACCTTCTCTCTACTGTAACTCACCACCCTCTTCTCCGATCACGTTTCAGAAACCATAGGAGCACTCCCTGAGTTGTGAGCTTCAGTCTGAACCGAATAGATCCAGGTTCTGAAACCGGTAAGTCTCTCAACTCTAGACGTTCGTTTCTGAGTTACATGCGAACCCAGATTCAGCTGCATGCAAGGGTATAAACTAAGTTCTGTGCGTTTTCTTTTGGTTAGTTTTAGTTGGAGAACTTAAGAAGAACGTTGAGGGTAGAAAACCATAGTTGGACGAGTCAAAATCACACTCTAGGGACGTTCACTACTGATCCAGGTAAGGGAAGCTTATTGATTTAATTCGTAGGGTGTTGTATGTTTGCTGAAAATGATTGCATGTTGAGTAAATGTATGTATCCAGTATGAGTATAAATGCATGATGGATGATGGTTGCAATGTATGAATGTGAACCTGAATAATTATGGTGTATGTTGATTAATCTGTATGATGATGATGGATATTTATCAATGAGAATATGAATTATTAACGTAAATGTTATAAAGTTTGTAAATTTGTAATTTGAGGTGAAGTATAAAGTATGCACTGGTATGTTGGAACTTAAGTTTAAAATTTGAAATATGAAATCCTGAATATGATAAAAT